TTCTTTAATTTTGAAAAAAATTACTATAAAAGGAAATTTTTGAGAAAAATGTTGTGTACGGGAAAGAGTTTTTTTTTAAATAATTAAAAAAAATATAATTCTAAACTAATATTAAAATAATATTAACTTATAATAAATTTAATATACAATATATTGCAAAAAAAATAACAATTATATTTTTATTTGTAACTTAATAAAAATTATTAAAAAAATTAATAATAAATTTAAATATAATTAAATTAATATCTATAAAATAACTTTACTTAAGATTATTTTATTATTTATTTTATTATTTAATTTGATATTATAAATTTTCAACAAAAAATTTATATTGTATTTTAAAAATATATAAAAATTTATTTAAATAGAAATAAATAATACCAATAAAAATAAAATAAAATAAATAAAATAATAAAATAAATAAATAAATAATTTTATATCTGTAAATTAATAACATAATAAATAATACTTTTAAATCTCCAAATGCATGTTTTTGATTCAATATTCATCAAAAACAAAATATATTAATGGAGCTTATATAAAGATTTATAGTTTATATATATATATGATCTCAAATATCTAAATTCAATTCTTATTTAATTAAGTTGCATAAAGATAAAACTTTTGATTTTTTTTAATAATTATAAATTGAAACAGATTAAAACAAAAATTATATAAGTAAAAACTTCTAATCTAATTAAATATATATCTATTAAAAATCTTTTTCTACTATTTAATATATTTATTAAGACTGAATAACTCTAAAGATAATTATTAATATAAATACTGATATATAAATAAAGTTTGTAATTAAATAGGAATTATACTTTGCTTATTAATATTTGTATTCTTATATTTGGCAACTTGTATTAATTAAAATTTTTGAAGTATTTACTGAGAGATTTAAAAGTTGTATTTACTTAATAATCCAATTTTCAGATTTAATAACTATGTTAACCAAAGGATTCCTGAAGCATTTACTAGAAAGTATTAAGTAAAACCATAATAATTATTATTATATAAGTTAAAAATATAAAGTAATAAAGAACTTAAATAAAACTTAGTATATTATTATTCTTGTTCTTTTAGAAATCAAGATTAGATAGTTTAAAACTGGTAGTAAAATTTTTACAATTTTGAATTTCTATTAATATATGAATCTATTCTCAAGATATAAGTTAATATATCTGATTAATTAATTGTGCTTATTAAATTAAAGAAATATAATCTATAATAATTAATAAAATCTATATATGTAATATTGAAGTCAAATCACAAGATATAATTTATTAATAAAATAGTTTTTTATTAATAATAATTAAGCAATATTTTTATCTTCATTCTTTTTTATTTTCATTTATTTACAAATTACTTTTATATTTATATTTTATTTTTATTATTATTATTTTTTTTTAAACTAACTTAACCTTGCTTAGCAAACTTTATTAAAGTTAATATTTACATATATTCATACACATTTCTGTATATAAACTATGCTATAACATTAATTAATGAGTGTATACTAAACTATATTGAGGTTTTCTAAATATCAGCTGTTGCTATTAACTTTTTTTAATGGATAGAGATTGAAACTAATATGCCAAAGCATCGCTATTGTTAATGTTACTAGTATATAAATAAAAAAAATTGTTTCTTGTTATTTTGTCCATGTTTTTAACCCATCTTTTCAGCAATTTTTTTCCCAGGTTCTTTTTCCTATTTGCTATTATTTCTTCTTTTTCTCTGTCTCTTTCGATTTCTGTTTGATATGATCCGTGTCTTCACTTTCTTTTGTCTACTCTGTTAATATTGTTTATCTCTTCCCATTCTATGATTTCTTCATATATTTTTTTCCATAGCTCATTGATTACTTTTGTTATTCTCTCAACAATTCTTTTGCATACTTCTTTTGTTTTTTTTCTTGCAAACTGGTATATATATCAGATTATCTCTTTGGTCAGAATTCCCCTTACTATATAGTTTCTTGTGCACTCTGAGTTCATAATTAATGATATTTTTGGTTTTGAGTCTTCTTTCTCTTTTCCTTTGTTACAATTTCTTTGACACTCTTCAGTTTCTTCTTTTATTATCTTTTTGTATTCATCTGTTATCTTGTATTGCCAGTGTTTATGCATTAAATGCTCTAGGCTTTCTCTTTCCTTGTATTCTGGGCATTTGTTTGATTTGTAGATATCTGATCTTCTTTCTGCTAGCCTATCTAGTGTAGGAAGTTTGTTATTTAATAATCTATACCTGATTTTTCTATATGTGTGATTTTCTCAACTTGTATACATTTTAGTTATTCTGGATTGGTGTTGCACTTCCCAGTTAAAGTGCCAGTCTATTTGTAACTTGTCTCTGTACTCAATCTATATTCTGTTTCTTCTCTGTGTTATCCAGTTTGCTATTCATTTGGTATTTTGCATGTTTTTCAAAAATTCTTTGATATTTGTGTCTAGTTGGAATTCTCTCTAATTTAATGTTCCCCATGCTGCTGCTCTTGGGTTGGCTGTTATAATTGCTTCATCTCCTTTGTTCGCTTCTTCTTTTGCCAGTTCATCTGCCTTTTTGTTGTTCTCTTCTCCCTGATGTGCTTTGATTTTAATTAATGTTATTTATTCTTGTCTTTCTTTGATGATTCTTTTAATCAGAGTTTTTGTTATCCAGTTTGTGCTTTTATAGATTTGGCAGCTTCCTTTGTTTTTTTTTTGAATCTCTTGAATGGCTGTCTGGCTGTCTGTAACTTTTATATTTTTATATTATTATATTATACTATAAATTAAATATACATAATATATTTCTATCTATTTGCAATATTATTTTTATTTTTTGACATGATCTAAATATTTTAATATATGATTTATTATATTTTAATTATTATATTTCTTTCATAAACTCACTTATATTACAATGTAATATAATAACAAATGCAATATGGAAATAAAAATTTTATCAATTTATTTGTTTTATAATAAATTTACTGTAAATTAATCATGTAATTTATTCATTGCACATAATAACATATAAATAACGTATTTAAATTAAAATGGTTTATTATAATAATTTGTTTTTGTTTATTTTGATAGTATTCTCTAATATGCATAAATCAAAAATAGATAATCAGAAAAAAAAGTCAACTTATAAAGTTTATTATTAAAATTTCTGTCGTGACCGCACAGCACTTGATTATTAATGAATTTTTTAAAGAATATTAAGAGGTTCTATTAAATAATTCTAAACAAACATTGTTCTCGTATCATATGACCGTGTATTTATATAATTATATTGTCTTTCATTTAAACACCGAAAATTACACACTGTATATAGTCTATTGAAATTTTGATAAGAATAAGAAAACATTACTTTTTCAAACAGGCACCAAAATAAAATAAAGGTTTTTCAACTAACAGTCCGGCTGCAGATTAAACTGCAAAAAAGAAAAGCGGATGTAAACATTTACAAAGAAATAAGGTGAAGTTGAAATTGTCAAATGAAAGAATTATGAATTATCTTTGCATGGTTCTTTTTTTTTGGATAAACTTAATTAAACTCGGCGAGCGAAACCTAGAACAGATCAATTCCACCTTCGGCTGCTTGTTCCTGTTGTTTGAACAGAGTATTATGAATCAAATCATTTAAACAGTTTAATTAAATAGTGAGGAATCTTAATGAACCACAAACCTTGACAAACATTTCAAAGTATGAGTATATAATCGTGACAGCCAACAGTATACCAGTTCCAGATCCAAGAGCCCCTACAAGAAGGTTATAAAATATTAGGCCTAATTCTTGGACGAAACCTGAGGTAAGAACAAAGTAATGCAAAAAAAAAAAAAAATTCTTACCAAGCAAATCGGCGAGGACGGACAAGGCGCCAATACAAGCACCACCAAATGCGGCTGCGGTTGGAATAACACGCTTTAATTCTTTGTATGTCGAAGTATCACGATGACCTACCATAATCATGTTTTGCTCTTTGAGTTGCTTGGCCACTTCACGAGGCGAAGATCCAGATACTTCAATCCAAGTCTTTGAGAAGAGGGCACATGCAGTTAACATAAAAGCGATATAGATCAAGGTGTGAATTGGATCCAACAGAGCGTCGGTGATATTGTGTGGTGGTGACATGTAATACGATAGACCGCTTGACGCGAATAGCTGTGATGAGCCTTCATGCGGCTAATTGAATATATATGCGAGAGAGAAGAAGGTTAGACAAAATGAAATGATGATTATTATACCGTTGAAGTCGTGTAATAATATATATACATACAGTCCAAACACCAAGAATACGAACGAGGAGATTGTCCGGAAACCGAGTGTATAACATTTGCGAAATTAAGAAAACATTGGTGGTGAGAGCGGATTGAAGCATGATTGGCATGTTTGATGTATAGAAAAGTTTAATCGGGTATGTGCCACGCTGACCACGGAAACGGCTAGATCGAACGGGAAGTTCAACACGGAAACCCTGAAGGTAGATGACAATGGCAAAAACTACCACGGTGGCCAGAAGGTTCATAACATTAGGCAAATTGGTTCTGTAAAATGATTCCTTCAATGCGCGGGTTTTATTGCTGTAGGTGAAGAGCGAATGGAATAGAGAGATAATGGCACCCTCAAATTCGGGACCTCGGCCAGCGTTGACGGTGGTTGGACTGAATGCCTTCCAAACGATGGATTCACAGATGTTGGTAGCGATAAAAAGAGAAATACCGGAGCCCAAACCATATCCTTTCTGCAAAAGTTCGTCCAGAAGCATAGAGATGAGACCAGCAACGACAAGTTGGATGACAAGTAATAAGCAGACACCAGCTCCGATTTCGGAGGGATCACCATACAACCCGGTCATTACGGACACGGTGGCTTGACCAAAAGCAAAAACCATGGCAAAAAGTTTTTGGGCTCCGCTAAACAACGCTCTGTCTTCCTTCAAGCTGAAGTCAACCTCAATGAGGTTAGCACCAGCCAGAAGTTGCATGATCATGCCCGAAGTAACAATGGGTGTAATACCGAGTTCCATTAAGGTACCTCTGTTTGAAGCAAGAATTACACGCAGCCAGTAAAGAGGATCGGAGGAATCAGAAGACATGATGCCGTATAGCGGAATTTGGGAGCACACAAGGAAAATAAAGAGCGTGACGGCTGTCCATAACACCTTTTGGCGAAAAGGAACCTAAAAATACATTCCAATGTTGAGAAAATTTGTTTGCGAAGCAAAATTGTCATATAAATAGAGACTGGAAGGTAAAAAAACGATATCTTCAGTTGGAAATCTACCTTTCGGTCTGGTGCAGTGACCTCCGGTAGTATGGCCATGAAAGGCCTGATGAAATTTAGAAATCGGACTATATGGAAAGGAAACTTTCAGCAGGTTCAATTGTGAGAAAAAAAAAAAGGAATCATCAATGAAAATTTTATACATACAACCCATTGGAATTAGTTAGCCAGAAATCAAAAAGCCGAGTTCGAAAGGTTGCGGTTGGTGAAATTTTTGAAAAGTTGTTATTGACAAAAACTAAACATGCTCATTTTTTATGTATAATCTAAATTTATTTGGGTGAACCAATTAAACACGTACACGATTTTTTTCATCACCGTAATTAGAAAGTCGACTATTTCATGTCGCACATAAAACTTATCAATTGTTGATTTGTCCGTTTTTTTTATATCGCACTCACAAGATGGTAAAAACTTCGAACACGCCTCAGATCCTCGCAACTTCGTCGTCTAGCAGAGGCCAGCATTCCGGTCCAGGTGGAAACAATGGCGGCAATTTTTTTTCCAAATTTTTTCGCGATGAAGTCTTTGCCCCAGAGAAACGCCAGGGCAATTTTGAGATTGTGCTGTCAATCAGTGTGTTTGCTGCGGCGATAGCGTTTTTGCAAAATTACTCAGATTTGTTGGCCGTGTGAAGTGACTCTAGCTTGCAAACTCAACCTTAAGAGCGGGTGAGTGATGTATGTATGTTTAAGTTTGCGCTTTGTTTGCTGAACCAAAAAGTAAACAAACGATCTGCTTTAATCAACTTTACGTTGGAAGAACGCGGCAATTCAGGGGGTATTTATCATGGGCAAGTTATTATAAATTGAAATAAATTCTCAGTTCCTTGGACTTATGATAACTTTTATTCCTACGGACAGCAATTACACTTGGTTCCTCTGAATTTCATTGACTGCTTGGCAAATCACGAGAACGAAACCGTAAAGATTTAATTATGATTTATAAAACGGGTTTTATTATTTAATATTCCTCACAAATGCATATTAAATAATGAAAATTGGATTTTCACATTTACAAAGATAACCTCAATGTTCAATGCCTTCTCTTATAAAGTCTTACCTCTTTTTAAAATATCCCGATAAAATAGAAGTGTGCTTAAGATTTACTCTTCAAGAAGTCTGTTACAATTGTTGCAAATTCTAAAGGTTTCTCGGAGTGTACTACAAAATGAAACCGTCAGTGGCATGCATATGAAAAATCAATTGGTCTTAACAACGTGCGCCCTTCATTACCCCAGTGGCCAGTGTCTAATTCGACAATTATGGAATCAGGAAAAAAGGTTTTTATGGTAGGATGAATCTAATTGGCCAATGCATGTTTTAATAAGTGATGATGATCCTGCACGCCTTTTAAAAAAGAAAAAAAGCCAACAACCTTAGGAGTCACATAGTCTGACCTCAACCCGGAAATGAACAACGTCTTTTTATGGAAAGTG